GTAAAATGGATTAGTTCCTATCGGACTATGTGTTAGCCTATGGCTCCAGTCAGCGGTATAAGGGTGGACGGTGATATAAGGGAGGCAGCATATTGCATTATTTTTTGATATATTAGAAAAATGATATTGGTATATTGTTGGGGAAAAAAATGAAATTGAATTGGATGTCTCAAATCCGTGATTTTTAATATATTTATATACACACATATAAACGATTTTTGGTTTATCATATATGATTTGCTTGTATAGGTTAGAATTTCAGTAGTTACTGAGACGTTTGATCTCACCCCCTATATTAACAATTTTCAGGCGAAGGATCTAGTAGGAATCAAGGGAAGGCACCAATGGAGTGAGCCGTGAAGGCTTCTGTGCTCCTCAAGCACATGCTATGTTATATTTTTATTTGCCATGACTATAAGACTTTAAAAGTTTATTTTGTTGTTATGTTAGAAATGTTTTGAAATTTTGACTTAATTGCAGTATTAAAAATATGTATGGACTTTTAAATTAAATATTTTATTACGTATATTGATATAATTATGTGAGGTGTTCCATTTTTGGTATCAAAACCATGACATTCCATGGCTTTTTAACTAACTTTTATGTAAAATATTTTTTCAAAAAAAAAATGGCTAGAGGTCATGGCAATTTAAATATAATAACATGTGTACTTCCCTTTAGTTTTTAGATTAAAGGTTTATTTGTGTGATGCTGTTTAGTTATCTAGTGGTCCTTGTATTGTTACAAATAGGAAGGGAGAATGGTGAACACTCGAAGGAGTGATTCTACCCCAGTTCCACATCAAAATGTTCCTTCTCGTCAAGATAATGATGCTATTTTGCGAGAATTACGAGATTATGTTGTGAGCATTGATCAAAGAGTGAGGAGACAAGAGGATGAGCTGCTAGTAATCAAAGGTCAACATGATAGTCATCAAGAAGAAAATGGCCCAGTTGATGATGAAGCTCCCAGTGACCATCAGTCAATAGGTGATACCCTTAGAGGTACTGAATCGAAAGGCGACAGTAGTGCATATTCTCAACATGACCTCGCGCATATCACACTGCTCTGGGAAAGTTTTAGAAAGTTTGATCCTCCTAAGTTTGAGGGTAGGCTGAATCCATCTGAAGCTGAAGAATGGATCGAAAGGCTGGAAACTATATTCAAAATGGTAATATGCACCTCGCAGGAAAAAGTGCAACTTGCTGAGCAGCTGTTACAAAAGGCAGCAAGGAAGTGGTGGGACAGCATCAAGCCTTTTGAAAGTATAGAGATCACTTGGGAAAGGTTCAAGGAGAAATTCTTCCAACACTATTTTCCTAATGCCCTTAGAGCGGATCAAGAAGCAGAATTCTATGCCTTCAAGCAAGGGAACTTAAATGAGGAAGACTTCATCGCTCGGTTTCTTGAGCTAGTCAAATATATTACTTATCCGCAGATGCAACCTGACTCAAAATGGATGGCTGATAGACTACTGGAAAAGGCCAGGCCAGAATTAAGAACAGCTCTGGCACCCTTGGAGATTAATGATTTTGAAAAAATGTGCACCAAATTGCGAATCATTGCTAGAAGAATGAGAGAAGAAGAAGATGAGAAGAGAAAAGAATCTTATACAAGGTCCGTTCCATTCATGAGACCTACAGGAGGAATCAGTAAGAAGAATACTTACAGCTTCAACAACTCCAAGAAGCGGTTTAATCAGCCCTCGAGGAATCAATCTAGTGGACCTTCAAGGAGTCAATTCAGTGGACCCTTGAGGAGTCAATTCAATGGACCTCCGAGGAGTCAGGTCAGTGGGGGATAGAGCTCTTACAGGGGTTCTACAGCTCCTATCACTAGCACCGCCAATAGTCAAAGGTGTGCCAAGTGTGGGAAGGTACATCAAGGAAATTGCATTATCTGCTTCAAGTGCGGGAAACCGGACCATATTTTCAGATTCTATGAGGAAGGATCACGAGGTGTCAATGATACTAGAGCTGCAGTCCCGGGAAGAGTGTTTGCACTATCTCAAGAAGAAGCTGACACTTCTCCTGATTTGATTAAAGGTATTCTCAAACTCCAAGGCTTTGAAACTCAAGCTTTATTTGATTCTGGTGCAACACACTCATTTATATCTAATGATTATGTGCCTCGTCTAAGTATGCATATGTATGAATTGCCTTGTGATGTGATTGTCTCTACACTGGCGGGAGCCTCGGTGAAAACTTCTAAAGGATGCTTGAATTGCATGATTGATTTTGAGGGTAAAACATCTACTATAGACCTTGTTTGTCTACCCTTAAAGGGTATTGACCTGATTGTAGGAATGAATTGGTTGTCGGCAAATGACGCCATCCTAGATTGTAGAAGGAAGACCATTTCTTTACCGGTCGCCTTCGCCAGTTCTAGTGGGCCATAACTGCTGTCTTTAGTGCAAGTTGAAAAGTGTATTCGAAAGGGTTGTCAAGCCTACATGGTATTCTTCTCCATTCACACAACAACTGAAAAAGGTGTAGAGGAGATTGCAGTGGTAAGTGAATTCCCAGATGTGTTTCCAGAGGAGATAACAGGTTTGCCTCCAAAGAGAGAAGTGGAGTTCTCCATTGATCTTGTACCTGGAACCGAGCCTATCTCTAAAGCTCCTTATCGGATGTCTCCATCAGAATTAGCAGAGTTAAAGAAACAGATCGAGGAGTTACTGGAAAAGGGCTTCATTAGGCCGAGTGTATCTCCTTGAGGTTCGCCTGTCCTCTTTGTGAAGAAGAAGGATGGGAGCATGAGACTGTGATTGATTACCGCCAATTGAATAAGGTAACCATAAAGAACAAGTACCCTTTGCCCAAGATCGATGATCTACTTGACCAACTATTTGGAGCATCAATATTCTCTAAGATTGACTTAAGGTCAGGTTACCACCAATTAAGGGTTAGATCTGAGGACATCCCAAAAACTGCATTTAGAACAAGATATGGCCACTATGAATTCCTTGTTATGCCGTTTGGGTTAACCAATGCTCCAGCTATCTTTATGGATTACATGAACAGAATCTTCCGACCTTACCTGGATAAATTCGTAGTGATTTTTATTGATGATATCCTTATTTATTCTAAGGATGAGGAAGAGCATAAACAGCATCTTAGAATTGTGCTGCAAGTGTTAAGGGAACACAAACTCTATGCAAAGTTGTCAAAGTGTGAGTTTTGGCTCAAAGAAGTAAAATTCTTGGGTCATGTTGTATCAGCTGAAGGTGCGTCGGTAGACCCTAGTAAGATTGATGCAGTGTTAAAGTGGGATCGACCACAAACTGTCACAGAAATCAGAAGCTTTCTGGGACTAGCAGGCTACTATAGGAAATTCATTAAAGGCTTTTCGTAGATAGCTATGCCCTTAACCAGACTAACTAAAAAGGACTAACTGTTTGTTTGGACTGAGAAATGTGAAGCAGCCTTTCAGACTTTAAAGACCAAGTTGACAACTGCACCGGTACTTGTGATTCCAGACCCTACACAGTCTTTCACTTTGTATACTGATGCTTCTAAGAAGGGTCTTGGGGCTGTATTAATGCAAAATGGTAAGGTAGTTGCTTATGCTTCTCGGCAATTGAGGCCACATGAGGAAAATTACCCTACGCATGACTTGGAATTGGCAGCAGTCGTATTTGCATTGAAGATTTGGAGGCACTATCTCTATGGTTCGTAGTTTGAAATTTTTAGCGACCATAAGAGTTTGAAGTACTTGTTTGATCAAAAAGAACTTAACATGAGACAAAGAAGGTGGATGGAGTTTCTTAAGGATTATGATTATGAGCTAAAGTATCATCCAGGGAAGGCAAACGTTGTAGCAGATGCCTTAAGTAGAAAATCTATCCATGCAGCCCAATTGATGGTCAAGGAGTGGAACCTGCTGCAGGATGTGCAAAGTACACCTATTGATATAATGTCTGGGTTAGTTGCTACCATGAAAGCACTAACCATTGAGAGTACAACTTGGAAGGAAATTAAAATTGCCCAATTGGAGGATGAGTATCTACTAGGGATTAGGGAAGAAGTTGAACAAGGAAAAGAGTCAAAGTTTAATATTGGTGAAGATGGGATACTAAGATATAAAGCGAGGGTGTGCCTCCCCAATGATAAAGAGTTAAAGAAGCTACTACTTGATGAAGCTCATAGAAGCAAATATACTATCCACCCTGAGTGACCAAAATGTACCATGATCTAAAGCGAAACTGGTGGTGGCCTAGTATGAAGAAAGATGTAACTGAGTTTGTCTCTCGTTGTCTAACTTGCCAGAAGGTCAAGATTGAACACCAGAAGCCCCCAGGACTATTGCAAAATCTAGAGATTCCAGAATGGAAGTGGGATAGTATTTCCATGGACTTTATCACAGGTCTTCCTAGAACTCAATCAGGGCATGATGCTATTTGGGTGATTGTTGACAGATTGACTAAATCAGCTCATTTTCTAGCCATCAAGACAAATTACTCTTTGGAAAAACTAGCACAGATCTATGTGAAGGAGATCGTCCGATTACATGGCACACCAAAGAGTATCATATCAGATCGAGATCCACATTCACTTCAAGGTTTTGGAGATCGTTGCAGGATGCCATGGGAACACGGTTGAGGTTTAGCACCGCCTACCATCCCCAAACTGATGGACAAACAGAGAGAACTATCCAGACTCTTGAGGACATGTTAAGAGCTTGTGCAATTGAATTAAAAGGAAATTGGGATGATCACCTTCCTTTAGCAGAGTTTGCTTACAATAATAGCTTCCACTCAAGTATTCAGATGGCCCTATGAAGCATTGTACGGAAGAAAGTGTAGATCTCCACTTTGTTGGACAGAGTTGAGCGAGAGAAGTTTGATAGGTCCAAAACTGGTGGATTACACAACTCAGAAGATTAAAATGATACAACAGAAGTTGCTTACTACCCAAAGCAGACAGAAAAGTTATGCATATAGGAGAAGACGACCATTGGAATTCATGGTAGGAGACCATGTATTTCTAAGAGTCACACCGATGACGGGTATTGGAAGATCAATTCGAGCAAGGAAACTCACTCCCCGTTTCATAGGTCCTTATGAAATTTTGGAGAGAGTAGGGCCAATGGCTTACAGAATTGCCCTACCCTCACAACTGGCCAATATTCATAATGTATTCCACGTGTCACAACTCAAGAAGTACCACCCAGATCCATCTCATGTGATTGAGCCTGAAGAGGTCGAGTTACAAGAGAATCTTACTTTCAAGGCCGAACCTAAACGCATTCTGGATGCTAAGGATAAGCAACTTCGGAATAAAACTATTCGGTTACTTAAGGTTTTCTGGAAAGGAATGTCTCCTGAGGATGCTACCTGGGAAACTGAAGAGCGAATGCGGCGTGATTTTCCTAACTTGTTTGATTAGGAAGAGTTAGTATCATGTTAGTTTTGGTGATTGTATTATGGTATACTTGTACTTGTACTTATTGTACTTGTGTTGTGCTCTTGATGTGTAGTATAGATATTTGTAATTGTGTCTGCTGCTTGAAGTAAATTCTTTCTCTTTTCATGTATCGAATTTTGGGGACAAAATTCTTTTTAGGTGGGAAGAATTGTAACGTACTGTTAAAAAAAATCAAAATCAATTAATTAAAATAATATAATATATATTATTATTTTAAAAAAAATACCCAGCTTTTCCACCGAAGTCGGTGGAAAAGCTGGGTATAGTCAACAATAAAGAAAGAAGAGGCGCAAGAACTAAATGGAGGAAGAAATAAGGGGGGTGACATTAAATTGAAGAAGGAAAAAAAATGGGGGATGGGTAGTTAGATGGTGAAGGAAAATAGGATAAAAGAGGGGGAGAGGAGATGGAGGAGGAAGAGAGATCGAAGGAAGAGAGAAGAGAGTGAGAATCAAAGAGGGAAAGAGAGAGAAAGCTAAGTTGCAGAGCACCTGACAAGTTTTGGAGATTATTTAGGTACACAAAACTACTTCTTTTTATCAAATTTCCTTTATGAATATTTCCTATATATTTAGAACTTTATATTATTAGTATCATTATAATGTTTAGAGAAAATTTTACTGTTTAGGTATAGAGTAAATATAGAGTTTTGACAATATATGACCGTAGAAATTTAAAGATACATTATTAAGGAATTTTAATCGGTTTATTTTTGTTGAATGATTATTTTGAGAATTTTAAACTAAGATTTTAGTTGAAAAGTTTGTTATTTAGACTTGTAATATGTTTTTACTGATTAAATTTGAGTTAAATAATTTATTTGAGTTATTTAATATATTATTGAGGTTTTAATCGGTTTAAATATTGAATAAGTTAAATATATATTTTGAAATAATTTTTGAAGGCTTGAAAAATTGTAAATTGAGAATTTTAATATAAAATATTTAGATTTTGGGTAATAAAAATATATTTACTTAAGTTGTTAAATTTAAATAGCTTTATATGTAAATTATATTTTCTATAAATACCTAGATTTGGGAGTTAATATATTTATGTAATTTTGGTTTAGAGGGTAGTTTTAGAATTTTAGAGTAGCTTTAGAGTAGTTCTGAGTTTATATTAATAAATATTTATGTGTAATTTTGTAGACTTGAGAATTTTGGAGTAATTTTTGTGTGAATATTTATAAGCTAAAGAGTACCAGGTAACTCTGAAAATTCTTTCTTGTACATGTGAATTGTGTATGATTATATTGTGGATTTACTAATTATTATATTCTTGAAATATAATATTATGATTTTTGTAAAATAAATGTTTTGGTATGTTACATGATTTTATTAAAATTTGTTGCTAGTAATTATGATCAATATTTAAATATATTAATAGCCATGAAATTATCATGAATTGCTATTAAATGGTATATAAGTTTTATCGCTATCTTATTTTTAATATATTTGAGGAAGTATTTATGATGTAACATTGTTGGCATCTAACATGCATTGTTGGGCTAAGGATAGAAGGAGATTGCATGGATATAAAATTACCACGTGGTATGCCATCACTCGGTGCACAGTGGATGGCACTTGTCAGGGCCCCTTCTTCCATGTTTTCCTTTGGCTGGGAAATTCATTGGAGCTGTGGGACATGTGACACCTCCCTATTCACAAAGGAGGGGAGCCATAGTCCGAGCTTGAGCTCTATATCTTTGGCCGGATATATCTTTAGTATCGGTGAGATTGGAATAATTCAGTAAAATGGATTAGTTCCTATCGGACTATGTGTTAGCCTATGGCTCCAGTCAGCGGTATAAGGGTGGACGGTGATATAAGGGAGGCAGCATATTGCATTATTTTTTGATATATTAGAAAAATGATATTGGTATATTGTTGGGGAAAAAAATGAAATTGAATTGGATGTCTCAAATCCGTGATTTTTAATATATTTATATACACACATATAAACGGATTTTTGGTTTATCATATATGATTTGCTTGTATAGGTTAGAATTTCAGTAGTTACTGAGACGTTTGATCTCACCCCCTATATTAACAATTTTCAGGCGAAGGATCTAGTAGGAATCAAGGGAAGGCACCAATGGAGTGAGCCGTGAAGGCTTCTGTGCTCTTCAAGCACATGCTATGTTATATTTTTATTTGCCATGACTATAAGACTTTAAAAGTTTATTTTGTTGTTATGTTAGAAATGTTTTGAAATTTTGACTTAATTACAGTATTAAAAATATGTATGGACTTTTAAATTAAATATTTTATTGCGTATATTGATATAATTATGTGAGGTGTTACATCATAAGTTAAAGAAGGCGTTTAACGGTTCACAAGAATATCAATGGCTCCAATACCATTAACTGGAGAAGGAATTTATTAACGAGTAGGAGTTAATGTGATCTTTGGTAAAAAGAAGAAAACTACAGGTGAGAAGAATATATGGAAGAAAAAATCTATCTTTTTTCATTTTCCATATTAACAAAGTCTTGATGTGAGACATAATTTAGATGTCATACATGTGGAAAAAAAACATGTGTGAGAGTCTTGTTAGTATATTTTTACATTTAAGTGAAAAGACTAAAAATAGAATCAATACGAGACAGAATTTAGTCAAAATTGGAATAAGAAAACTCCTCCACGCATAAGAAAGAGAGGATAAGAGGGCTTATTTATATCCAACTGTGCATATATTATCAAAAGAAGAGAAAAATGAGTTTTTGTGATTTTTTGAATGGTATTAAGGTGTCATAAGGTTATTCTTTTAATTTGAGAAAGCTTGTTTCAATGTAAGATTTGAAGATAAGGGGGATGAAGTCTTATGATTATCATGTGTTAATGCAATAATTACTTCCTGTTACTATTTAAGGCATTATGAAAAATGATGTGAGAAGCATTATTACAAAACTTTGTATGTTTTTTAATGTTATTTGTAGTAAAGTGATTGATCCTGCTAGTTAGATGAATTAGAAAAATGAAGGTTATATTATCCTCTCCCAATTGAAAATGCACTTTCCTCTATCATTTTTTGACATTATGGTGCATTTGATAGCTCATCTTGTATGGGAGATAAGACTTTGTAACCTAATGTGTTTAAGGTGGATATACCTATTTAAGAGATACATAAAAATTCAAAAAAGATATTCTAAAGAATCTTTATCGGCTTGAGACATCAATTATTAAGAGATATATAGCTGAGGAGGCCATTGAGTTTTGTAACACATATCTTAATAGGATAAAAGCAGTTGGACTTTCTCAATCTCGGCGTGATCAGTGGAGAAGTAAGAGAACATGGGGTGTCATAGTGAGGTCCATGTCTTGTGAAGTTATAAGGTAGGCACATCTATAAATTTTAAACAACATGGATGAAGTTTAGCCTTAATTGAATGCTCACAAGTATATGCCAAAGAACATGAATCCAAGAAACAACGATATACAGCTAACTAAGGAGTATAATAAGTCATTTGCACAGTGATTCAAGTAAGAAGTGTTAAAGGATGACAATCCTTTTGAGACAATATAAAGGCTAGCTGTAGGGCCTTATTTTGAGGTTGTGTTAGGGTGGATATTACATAAATTATTTTATACAAAAGCCCAAGATGGCAAGAGTACCATGTAAAATAGTGGGATGATAGCAGTAGCCGAAACTATACGTTTTGCTAGTTCAAAAGATAAAAACCCAACATTATCGTTGGTCGGGTGATGATCCTTGGCCATTCCTAAGTTTCCCATGTTTCAGGTGATAATTATCAAGATATGACATGACGCACTACCTTAATTGTATAACTTATATCCAAGTGAGTATAAGTTATAGTAGTTTACTTACTAATATTTTATGTCTCTTTGCATCTAGTAGTATTAAGTCTTTTTTTAGGCTACTTTTGGTCTTCTTGCTACTAGAGGCTTCTTCTGATTCTCCCTTTTCTTCTTCATCTTCTTTATTGTCCAGCTTTTGAGTTGGTTCTATTAGAGTGTCTACTAGTCTAGCACCTAACATTCTAGTTTCTTTTAAAGAATCTAATGTTTACTTTCTTTTATAGACTATAATGCCATCCTTTGATTAAGCTACTACCATGCCCAGGAAGTATCTTAATCCTCTCGAGTCCTTTCTTCAAATTCCTTTTCAAGAGACTTCTTGAGCTTTGTTATTTCAGTAGTATCGTCATCTCTCAAAATGATATCATTGACACATGTCATAAAGATAGCCATCTTACCCCTTGAATACTTGACAAATTATGTGTGGATAGTTTGACATTGAATGAACCCAACTCTCTTCACTGCTTTGATGAATCTTTCAAAACATGCTCCAGGTGATTGTTTTAAACCATAGTGTGATTTGTGAAGCTTGCATGCAATTCCTAGCATGCCTCTATCTGATAGTCTTTAAGGAACTTCCATATAAACTTCTTTTAGATCCCTATTTAGGAAGGCATTCTTTAGATTAAGTTGGTGGAAAGGCCGGTCTAGGTTATCTATTAGAGACAAGAGGAATTAAATGGTGCTAAGTTTTGCAATGAGAACAAATGTCTCTTGATAATATATTCTATAGGTCTAGGAGGTATCTTTTGCCACCAATCGAGCCTTGTTAATCGAGCCATCAGGGTTGTATTTCTTTGTAAAGACCTATTTACATCCCACAACCTTCTTGCCACTTAGTAGCTTAATAATTTTCCAATACAATAAGCTCTTCCTTAATAGTTCTTTTCTAATGAGGATCACGGATAGCATCATTAAAACTAGTTGATAACTGCTCATCAACTAATCTAGTAACAAAACTTTACATAGTAAGAGACAATCTATCATAAGACACAATATGATTGATGGGATATTGAGTGCACTTTCTTATCTCTTTTCTCAAGGCAATAGGCCATACGACATCATCAAGATTTGAAGCTAGAGTTAAAGACTAGCATTGCTCAGTACTAGAGACGTCATCCTACTGTTGACCTGTTCTTGTCT